CTTGAGTGATATGTAAGATGATGGTTAGGTTTGAAATTGTGGTGAATGTTAGTTCCTTTCATGTGTCTAATGAATTTCGTGGGTTTGGAATCGATGTGATGAGTTCTTGGTTGAAAATTCAGTGAGGGAAAGGGATTTTGTAAGAATCATAAGGGGAACTGGGGTTGCGTCGTGCCTAAGTTAAGATGAAACATCGACTTTACTTTTAGGTTAATGAAGGTGTTGCCATTAAAAACTGGAATAATATTAATGAGAGAACAACATAAGAATGCTTTATGGAGAATGGAGGTAGATTGTGTTTCAGTCTATGAAGCACATATGGAAACACGGCACTGACACACACACTTCGACACCAGTAATAATTTGAAAAAGTGAATACATTAAACGTAACTACAAGTTTCGGTGTCGGTTTTGGACACTGACACGGACACACCTTTTTTCAGTGGTGTCGGTGCTACAAAGGTTTCAGTCCACAACACCACCGATAGTTGTTACTTGTTTTGATGATAAGGGATTCATGGATCGAGAAAACAAATGAATCCCATCTCCTCGCCATTTTCTCTCTTATGTGAAAAAAGAAGTTCATTCATGATGTGAATCATGCCATTTCCTGCCATGAATTGAGAGACATTCCCAAACAAGAAGATGCAAAAAAGGGGGTGATTGAATGGGCGAGCACACCCTTCTTTATAAGTAACACATCCCTTCTTTTAGAGCATATAGAGCGATGTGCATGGAGCCACTGAGGACTTTCCCTCACTTATTGTAATGCAAGAGACCAAAGAAACAACATGGTACAAAGGGTCTGTTTAATTGTACTCAAATTAAGAAATGTTGTCGGTGTAAGACATATGAATGATTTTTAGTTGCTTGCCCTTTGGTTCCGTACCAATTATTTTTATGACACATCTACCATTCCACCTCGGTTGTAGGTGTAAGACTTGTAGCTCTCATTAAGAAATAACTCTCCCCTGATTCCTGACTTTTATGAGCCAGATCTCCTATATGTAAATGCTGTTTAAAATGTTTGTTTATTTTGCCATTCTATTTCCAGCTTCTAAACACAGTAGTGGTACAAAGATTAAAATTGTCTTACTGATCGAACATTTTATTGACAAACAATAGTGTGTTATGTGAGAGGCGTAACATAACATTGTAAACTTGCTTCTTTTCATATCTTAACTTTTGCGGTGCATTTCTCCTTCCACATAAATACATATTAAGTTCTTGGAATGTAATTTGACTGCTAGATTGCTAATTACTGAAAATTCTCCCACATACCGTTTGTAAGCTATTTTTTTGCTTGCTATTTTTGTAATATATCATAGAGCAAGTAATGAAAGTCCTCAAGAATATAAAAGCCAGTTCAACGGTCAAATAGAATCTTGTCCTAGATAATTGTTATTATATGGTCCAGTTTTTTAAAATGCACCTAGTTCTTGTCTACAAGTCTTCTTTCTGATATGCCTTAGCAATTTGACTGTGGTTTATTTCTCTATAATGATCAGTCCTTCAGCTGCAGTCGAGGGAGGGCGTACCTTTTCAGCAAAGTGTAAGTTTATTTGAAACATTTGTTTATATCCCCTGTTACCTGCCTCTTTCTCCTTTTCTCCCCATGTTCATTATCATGCTTTCATATAGATCTACTATTCTACTTTGATATCTGTTCAGTATTGTGCTTCAGACAAATTTAGTAACCCCTCTCTGCGAGGGCCTTCCAATCCCTAAACTTAAACCATCTTTTCTTTATTGATATGGAAAATGAGTTAAAACACTATGCACTTTTTCTTGTCATGACCACCCCATATATCATCTTCTTGACTGACAATTTCATATGTCATTGTTTGTTAACTTTTGGTTTTTGATAGGGTGAATGTTACGCTTGGGACTCAAGTAGAGAGATTGATGATATCTGGAATGCATACGGTTGAAGACATATTTTGTTGCTGCTGTGGACAAATTGTTGGATGGAAATATGTGAGCTTTTCCTTTTCACCTTGTTTCTTTTATCATACTTTTGGTTTTTTTAATGGGTTACCATCACATCATGTTGATAATATAGAATGTTACGAAAATGTAGTCGATAAATAATTTTTTGGGAAAGGTTAATGGACTTGAGTATTTCTGTGATAGGATGGATTAGCTTGATTTATGCACATGATTTATGATATGAGGACTTTATGTGACTCTTTTAATCCTACCAACCAACCCCATCTAGTTGGAAAAGGATTTGGTTGTTGTTTTAGTCCAATGACTATCGATGCAAATTAAACCTCAAATTCAGAAATGCTATACTTTATTATTTTTTCCTTTGGTTTTTAAAGAAATTGGAATTTAATCTGGGGGTTCCGCAAGTATTTTTTTCTTTTCTTTTCAAGAGGTAGTTCATTGACATCATTAATTTTGGAGATCAGTCTTTAGAGTTAAAATCAGCAATCGATTTTGATTGAATATGTAGCAAAGATGAGGATGTTGCGGTGGATTTGTGGTAAGACTCGACGGGACAGAAATAGAAATGAAAATATTAAAGTGTCAGGGTACCGCTTATAGTAGAGAAGATGGTAGAAAATAGACTTAGGTTATTTGAGCATGTAGAGAGAAGACATGTAGATTATGTAGTGAGGAGAGTAGACCGGATGGAGAGGAGACAAATAATTTGAGGAAGAGGAAGACCTAGAAAGACTATAAGAGAAGTTATTAAAAAGATCTTGAGATTAATGATTTGGATAGAAGCATGGCTCTTGATAGAACATTATGGCGAAAATTGATCCATGTAGCCAATCTCATCTAGTGGGATAAACTTAGTAGTTGTTGTTGTTGTATATAGGTAAATCAGAAATTCAAAATATAATATTTTTAAATTTATATTAAACAATTTTAATTGCCAACAACTTAGTACAAGAACACGCAGGAACAAATTTTCTGGTTTCCCAATCGATTGTGTTTATGTAATTCGTTTAAAGAAATTGTTTTCTATTCCATGAGGAGTTAACTATGCATTGCCATGAAACTCTGGATTTGTTTAATGTGATCCTGTTTGTGCTGAAAATCCCCAAGCTTTTAAACTTTTAACTCTATTAGGAGAGAGATGGCTTTTGCATTTATTTAGGAGGATTATCTATTGAAACAAACATTGTAACATCGTTTATTTAGGAGGATTATCTATTGAAACAAACATTGTAACATCATTGACGTGCAATCACTTGGTTGACTCTATGTGTATGCCTCAATCAATTTTGGTCTTATTTCCATATATGTTAGCATCAATTTTCCATGAGCTTAATGCAGTTTGAACTAATAATGCTTTTTGGTTTCATTCAGATTATAGCACATGAGAAAAGTGAAGCTTATAAAGAAGGGAAATTTGTACTCGAGAGGTATGGAGTAAAATATGATTGAGTCTTCGACTTTGATCATGTTAAGCTAAACTAAAATTTGATTACCATTGATGAAACTCGCAGATGGAGGATAGTTGATGACGTTGAAGAGGAATTAAATTTGGATGCTAATGCTAGTTCAAGCGAATCTGACGAAAACCTGTAGCAAGTTGCTTCTTTCATGAATTCAAGTATTGTAGCTAAGATAGAAAATATATCATGTTGTTAGTTTTTTTTAGTATTCATCAACATAGAATTTCACAAAGAAACTCTCTAGTTCGAGATGTTTATTGCTTGATTTCAGCATTTATAAATCTTTTAATATGGAACTCGAAGTTGCTATTTCTTTTTAGAGGGCATATCCTAGGCGTGCCTGAGCAAACATCCTGTTGGAAGGGTAATACATATTTTTGTGATAGTTAACATTTTTACTCCATCTAAATATATCTAATTTGTGGAAAGTAAGATTACTGTTCTAGCAATACGTTTGCAGATACAATTTACGATAGTATGATTTGTTATGTTATCATTTTGTTCAAAACAAAAGATATTTTGATCCTTTGTTCAGTTGTTCTTTAGACTCGTTGTGGTTTCCCTTTCATGTAGTAATAGAACATCTGTGTGTATCTGCAAACTCCGTGCAAATGGGTTGGCATTTGGAAAGATCAAGGTTTTGAATGATAATCGCAATTGCAGTTGCTTTGCTGCTATTGCAGGTTAACTGCAGCTGATGCTGTTTGCAATCAAAGCCTGATGCAGATGTGGTAGCCATTGCTAGCATTGCAATTTGCTATTAAAATTTAAAAGCTTGTACATCATTATCAAACTGTGGAAATTAACTTAACTGAAAGCTAAGGTTGTTAGGTAGCTTGTATATAAGATTGATGAACATTGTGGGAGGACAAGACTCATTGTGAGTATTTCCTGCGTTTGTTGCATTACTGTGATTGAGTCATTAACCAAATTCAGATCACCAAAAATCATAACAAGTGGTATCTAAAGTCTGGTTTAATATTCAGCATACAGTGATTTTAGTCTTTGGAGGGTGATGAAAGCCCTTGTCTAGGGCTTGATTGAAGCCTTGAAAGGGCCTGCAAAACTTCAAGCAAACCCTCACAATTAAGGATAAGGATGACTTTCTATCTAAATTCCAGTGGATATTGTCCACAACATTATGTGCTGCTAGATGTTATGGATGGAGACACTGTTGTTAGTTAGTTGGTTACCACAGCGACAAGAAGCATTCAACATGAATGTTCCAACATTTTGTTTTCTGAGTAAGATATTCACATTAAAACTTAGATCTTGAGCTTATAAGCAACTTAAACATAAGAAATTAAGAGTAAAACATTACTACTTCAAGGTGCCATTCATACATCAATGATTTTAACAATGCATAATTGAGTCATAATTACATCAAGATACAAGTCATATAAAAGGACGAGTACAATATCCACACACAATTTCTATTATTTTGAAGATATTGATGCAGCAACAGAACATGATCAGTGTCATCAAACACTACTTCATTAGAAAATGCAAATCTCTCCATTGCATTAATTTTCTGGGTTTGCTGGGAAGAATTTCATAGAAAGAGAAGCTTTATAATAATGTCTTACCTATCTAGTACCTTTCTTGTGGAACAGTTTGTCCTTTAACAGATCCTGGCTGCAGGGCTTCGCATTTCCTGCAAGGTGATATGAAAGACATGAATACTTTCTGGCCAAACCATGTTTTTGTGACAGTTTTTTCCTTGTTTTTATAGTTTCTTGCTTTGACAAGTTGTTCATGATATTTCCTTGCTCTGCTGCCGGTTTCTCTGCTGTTATGCTGTTGAATATCAATTTCTAGCAACGATCTTAGGGAAAGTGGGGGATTTGTGAAGAAAGATTTGTTTGGTTGAAAAGCAATTGCATGCGGCTTAATTTGTCCATTAGAAATCAACATATCAGCAGGTGTGATCTTGAATGGATTAGCAGCAGTAGAATATAATTCTGCTTTAATAGTGGAAAATTCAAAATCTGGGTTTGGCTTAGATGCTGCATGGTTATTTTGATGTTGTTGGTCTTGAATAGAAACAAGGCCAGCAAAAGAGAATGAATCAGCTGAAATACTATCTGCTGCATCAGATATATGCTTATTTCTTTGAAGAGTACTCATTGATTTATGACTGAATGGGTCATGTAGGTTATATATAGAATCAGGTTCCCTTGATGTAAGAGTTATTGAGAAATATAAGTATGTTAAGTTTGACACTTGATGTCATTGAATCTATATATATGACCTAGATGTGCTCACATGTGTTTGTTTTGATACGGGAATGCTCTATGAATTACAGACACTTTAAACACGACACTGACACGACAATAGTCAATATTGATAATAATTATAAAATAATGAATAAATTAAATATAATCTAATGTTTGTGTAGGTGTTTGATACCGACACAGATATCTCTGTTTTCAGAGGTGTCCGTGCTGAAGAGATAATGTTTATTGATTGATCCAATTCAAGTGCTCCCTAGATAATTTGTTAATTTTCTTGCTACGAGGTTATTACTGTTTGATGTGTTTTACTGTCGTCTCGGGGTTTACTAGAACTTGTTGTTTATGAAAGGGTAACACACAAGGGCCAAGGCCATGGCCTGGAGATATTGAAGTGACTAATTTTCATTCGTTCAAAAATATGTATTTTTAATTTTCTTTCAGCATATACGCGTAATTTCCGTGAAGTGCTACTGGCCAAATTGTGTGACTTTTTAAGAAAAATATGTGTGACCCTTCTTAAACTTGGAAAGATATATCCAATTAAATTTTGTAAACTTTTCGAAAAAGTTAATAATAGAAAAAGAAAATAATACGGTCCAATTAAAATCAGTTAGAGTTAAATATTACTATTGCTTATTCATAGGAAGAAAACATGGTAAGAAAAGTACCATCAAACTAAAAATACTTTTAGTTTGAAATGATATATGGCCCTTTAGCCTAACACATTTGATACGTATGGATTGAACTTGAGTAACTATATTTAGAATTTAAATTTTTTGAAATTATGTCTTTGTTAGACTAATTATATGAGGATTTCTTCACGAGAAATTCTGTTTTTCAATCGTACCACGCGAAAATATTTAAATGCTTTTAGATTTTGAAAATATATTTTTGAAATGTACTAATATGTAATAAAATATAAACTTTTTCAGAGTTTTGTTTTTGAAATCAAACCGACAGTATGTTTCCAGAATAATGTCTTACAAAATGCAAAAAATCAGAATTGAAATACACAAATTTCACAAAATTAAAATACCATTATATCATAAAATAAATAATACATAAGAGATTTTAACATAGACCATGTTGAAATAATACATAAAGCAAGATTAGTAGTTTGGGATTTTCTTCAAAGAGTAGGACTCAACTATTCTGAAGTATTTGCTCCAGTAGCAAGATTGGAGACTATTCGACTAGTGGTAACATTGACATGCAATCAAGACTGGTCGACATTTCATTTAGATATGAAATCAACATTTCGGAATGGTCCTTTATACGAAGAGGTCTATGTCACACAACCTCCTGAATTTGTGATTCAGAAGGGAGCGAGTAAAATATATAAGTTGCACAAATTGCTCTATAGCCTCAAGCAGGCACCTAGGACATGAAATAAGAATATCGACTCATACTTAGACGAATTAGGATTTGTCAAATGCAAGTCAGAGTATGGTATCTATGTTCAGGTTGTAGCATAAGATATAACAATCATCTTCTTGTATCTTGATGATTTACTGGTAATCGGAAATAGCTTAGAGAATTTATCGAAGTTCAAAGAGATGATGATGAAGGAATTTAAAATGTCGAATCTGGGAAAATTGTCTTATTTCTTAGGCATGAAATTTCAAATGTCGAAGCAAGGTATGATGCTACATCAAATGAAGTATGTCAAAGAAATACTCAAGAGATTCATAATGGATGATTCAAATCCTGCATCCTCACCTGTCGAATCAAATGTGAAATTGGAGAAGAATGGAGAGGAAGACAAAGTCGGTGTAACTTTGTTCAAGCAAATTGTGGGATCTCTGAGGTATGTGTGCAACAGTCGACCTGATATAGGTTTCACAGTCGGATTAGTGAGCAGATACATGAGTGAACCAAAAGTGACACACATGAAGGCTGCAAGAAGAATCATGGGATACTTAAAAGGATGGATAAACTGTGGAATACTATTTCGACGAGACTCTGAAAGCAAAGAAGTAACAATTAATTGTTTTTCAGATGCTTATTGGTGTGGAGATAAGGAAGATCGAAGAAGCACAATTGGACATTTCTTTCAAGTATTTGGTGTCTCAATCTCACGGTGTTCGAAGAAGCAACCTGTGATGAAATTGTCATCGTGCGAAGTTGAATATATAGCAGGATCCTATGCTGCATGTCAAGGAATTTGAATTAGATATGTACTTGAAGAAATGAAGGTCGAAGTGAAGAAACCTCTTGTGTTGCAAATCGACAACAAGTCAGCCATAAATCTGACAAAAAATCAAGTTCTGCATGTAAGAAATAAACATATCGAAGCTAGGTTTTACTTTTTGAGGGAAAAAATAAATTGAGGTGAAGCACAGTTCGCCGACATTTTCAATATATGGTAGGAGCTCTTGCAATATGTATTGCAGATCTTTAAGAGGGGTGTATTCGTTGATCTTAAATTCTCGAGATGGTGTATTGCCGGTAAAGTGAACATTTTTAACATGTCATTTGATGATCATGCTAGTTCATGCCAGCGGTTGTTTTAAGCAATTTGACTTTTGATTTTTCCAAAATACACTTTCGGTAGTATCTAACATGCAAAGATGATAGAATTTCTAATTTCTCACACTAATTAATCACATAATACATCTCTGAGATTAATTAAAATTTAATAATAAAAAAATGTGTTTTAGAAATACACTTCCGAAAATACAGAGATAAAATTAAATTTTTATAAATCTTTTTCAATGACATAAGATCTGATAAGAAATTCTCTTTCTTCCATGCTAGTTTTCTCGAAGTAGCACAATGTATTGTTTGAGTGAAATGTCAATTAGTAAGGGTTGTTTTATAGAATTTTCATTTTTTTTTTTGTGAAATAGTGTGTAAAAAAAATAGTTCATACGAATATGATTCGTCTTACAATACGAAATGTACGCAAACTTATAAAATAAACTAATGGAAATAGTTTACACTTATCAGGAGGATGATCAATCATGTTCTACAAAAATAATTAAGTGGGTGGATGAAACGATGAAAGAATTCGATAGCTTCATGTTTTAAATTTTGGTACATTAATCAAGATAGATTGAAAAATATGGGATATGTATTGTTATTGATAAGGTGTGAGATAATCATACACTTTTGCTATTCTTACGTCAAATATTTATTTATTAGCAGTAAATAAAATGTAAAAAGTTAATTGATAAAATGATGAAGTAAATAAAATGTAAAAAGTTAATTGATAAAATGATGAAGTGGTTAATAAATATGAATATGAAAAAAATAATTTTAGCAGTAAAAGAAAATCAGTTAATATAATATAAAATATTGGCTAACGAAGTTATAAAATTGGTTAATAAATATTCAAATTTTTAATAGTTATAAAATTATTAAAGGAATTTAAAATTTTGGTTAATATAGTTATGAAATTATTAATTTATTCGTACTCCAATTAATATAAAAAAATGTCAATTTTTTTTATAGAAAATAATAATTTATTATTATAATATTTTTTTATTCATCGTATTAATAAACAGTGAAATATGATATTGTGTAAGAGTGAAATATGATGTAGTGTAAGATCTTGGTGTATGAATATCATTTTAAAAAAATATAGATAAGATTTTAAAATTTGCAGTAAAATTAATGATGTTCAAATCCAAACCGATTCAAATAAAAGTTGTAAATTAATTTTAAAAAATCAAAAATAAGAAAAAATTGAATATTATTAGATGTGTTTGAATATTAATTTGTAAAAGCCACTTGATTAAGATTGAATTTCAGATTGATTTTTTAAAATCGAACCGAATAGAATCACAGGGATATATTTTTATATTTATTTATTTTTTATTAATAAGATATATTCTGATGATTTATTATTTAATGATACTTATTTTTTTAATAGTATTTATTAACTTTGTTTAATCTATATATTCTTATTATTTTGTTTGATTCAAACATAATCGGTTATTATTATTTTGTAATACTAGTTTTTAATATTATTTATTAATTTAGTTTAATTTATAGATTTTTATTATTTTATTAGTTTTAAATATAATCGATCATTATTATTTTATAATATTAATTTTTAATACATTATATATTATATATTATATTAAATATATTATTTTAATATTTTTATATTCTTAATAAAAAATATAATTTATACTTTGGATATCTGAAAATCGATCTAAATTAAATTACATAAAATTTAATCGAATGAAATTAAATTTTTTTAATTAATCATTCAAAATTGAATTGAATCGCGAATAAAATAATCTTTAGATCAGATATATTTTTATCTCAAAATCAATCTAAATCACATTCAGACACCCCTAAATAAAATCAGATATCTTTAATATTGTAATGTTTACATACTTTAAATAAAGTATTAAGAATTTATAAGATTTAATTTAGAAAATACCATTAGTAGAAAATATATTTTTAGGACAAAATATGAATGAGACACAAAGGGAGGAAATCAAGAGGTTCTAAGAGTTTTCGTAGAGGGTGTGACCTGATGAAGATAAATGTAGAGGATAAATTAATTTTGTCTATTTTTGATTTTATTATAGTTAATCTATGTTTTAAAAAATAATAAAAATGAACATTTTATCACATAAAAGAGTGTAAGTGATATATTTTCAAATAAATTTCTCTCTCATTAAGTGATCATACGAAAATATTTGGTTAGACCATAAAGTCATACTTAAAGAAAAATTGACAATTCAACATAGGGTATTGGTTATTGACATAAATTATTGGTACAAGGTGATGAAATTGAGGAAGAAGAGAGAAAATGATGAATGATATAAAGCTGTTACTAATGATTGAAAAAAAAATTGTATACATTAATGAAATCTAGTACACCTATTTATACATAAAAATAGTAAAGATAAAAATGCCACATAGGCCCTAAGAAAG